AGACAAACTACCCGTCCGTACTTGAGCGAGCATGCCCGCATTTGAAGAATGTACGTTTTGGGCCGGCATTTTGTTCAAGACATCATACGCATCCTGAAAATGCCCAACTTTGGCATAAGCAGTAACAAGGCTGGTCCAGGACGCAATGTCCTTTGCTGGACTCTTATCGAAATAATGCTTTGCTCGATCATATAAAAGCTCGCGGGAAAAAACACTTATAATCCCGTTCCAAGAAACGATATCTTTCTCTGGCATCCCATCAAACAGCGCTTCCACGTTTTGCAAATGCCCAATGTCGGCATAAGCAAGAAAAAGCGCGGTCCACGAAACAGCATTTCTCTGAGGCATTATTTCAAAAGCTCGTGTCGCTCGATCGATTAGTCGCGCTCGCAAAAGCCCCGTAATTAGTATGTTCCAGGAGAAAACGTTTCTGTGCGATGTCTTGGAAAACTCAAGCTCCGCTTCAAGAATTCGCCCATGAAGAAAGAAGTGCTGGATTAGCAGATTAGAGCGATAAGTAGCTTCGCGAGTAGCCATTCCATTGCTAAGTCTTACTAACTTCCCGGATGGCTATAGCTCCACCAAAGGATACTTTCTCGTGGAATTTGATGCTCTCAAGGTCATCTAGCATCGAAGATGCCGAGAACATCTTTTATTCCATGCCACATCGTGACATTGTGTCATGGAATACCATGCTATCGCTACTTGCCCGGCACAGCCATCACGACAAAGCCATGTCCACATTCCAGGCTATGCCGTACCACAACCAAATCTCATGGACCACGATGCTTCTAGTATATGCTGAGGGTGGGAATCTTCTCCAGACGCAGCGCCTCTTTGCGCAGATGCCACATCGGGATCTTATTTCCTGGAATGCCCTGCTCGGAGCATATACCCAAACAGGGCATATTCTCGAGGCTATTAGACTCTTTGAAAGAATGCCTCTGTGGAATCTCGTGTCGTACACAAGCATCCTGACATTGTATGGGCAGAGCGCGAATCTTTTCCAAGCCAGAGACGTGTTTGAGAATATGCCCGAGCATAGCATCGTCACGTGGAACTCCATGCTAGCGGCATATGCCCGTGTCGGGCATCTAGACGATGCGTGGACTACGTTCGAGAATATGCCCCAAACGGATCTCTTTACGTGGACCACCTTGTTAGTAGCCTGCTGCGAAAGTGGGAACATAGAACATGCCAAGAAAGTCTATGAGAAGATGCCAGAGGGATGCGTTGTGGCCTGGAATGCGATGGTGTCGGCCCTTGCCGAGAACGGGCATCTGGAAGATGCCGCGCGCGTGTTTGAGAATATGCCCGAGCACAGCATCGTTTCTTGGACCGCTATGGTTACGGCTTATTCTCGCAATGGCTTGCTAGAGCACGCGACAAGGGTTTTCGATCTAATGCCGCATCACAACACGGTGGCGCTCAATGCGATGCTGGATGCCTACTCGTCGAGCGGCCACTGCGATCACGCCAAGCGCTTCTTCGATCGCATGCCACAGCGGAATCAGGTCTCCTGGAACACGATTCTGTGCGCGTTCTTGCGGAGCGGGCAGATCGACGAGGCCAGATCGCTGTTCTTCGGCATGCCGCGGGACGAAATATCGTGGACGGCGCTCCTCGCCGCCACTGCGCAGCTAGGTCGTCTCGCCGCGGCCAAGAAGCTCTTTGATTCCATGCCGGAGCCTGGGATTGTGTCACAGGGGGCAATGCTGGCCGGATTCGCGAGCAGCGGCCATTCCACCGCGGTGATCGATCGATTTCATGAGATTCAGATGGTGCTGGAGCCGCGCCCGCTCTCCTTCCTCGCCGTGCTCATCGCTTGCAATCACACAGGCAAGACGTTCAAAGGGAGGAGCTACTTCGTGTCGATGGCGATGGATCACGGCCTTCGGCCGAGCAAGCAGCACTACTGCTGCGTGGTGGATCTCCTGGGCCGGGCAGGGCATCTGGATTTCGCCGAGGAGCTCATCGCGAGCATGCCATTCGAGCCAAATATTCTCGAGTGGACGTGCTTGCTGGGGGCGTGTCGAAGCTACAAGGATTCTTGCCGTGAATCACGTGTGATGCAGCGAGTGATGGAGCTCGATCCACGGATGGGAGGCGGAGAGGCAGCGTCGGTGCTTCTCTCGAGCATCCATTTCATGGCTGGGCGGCTTAAATCTTAGGGTTTATGGGCAAGAACAGGTTCTACGCTGTGCGCCAAGGCCGCCAGCCGGGAATCTACACATCGTGGATGGAATGCCGGAAACAGGTGGGGATTTTGGAGAGAAATCGTTTCGCGATGCTCATGAGCGATGCTTTCCAGGTCGATGGATTCGCCATGGCCGAGTACAAGAGCTTCTCTTTGAAAAGCGAGGCCAAGCTTTATCTTTCATCTCTCCAGCCCCAGCAAAACTCTAAGAACAAGGTATTTTCGATCCAAATGTTGCCTAGAGAATGACTTGGGTGGATTTTTTTCTTTTTTTTCCAGCTTGTTCATCTTCTCCAGTATGATGGTGCTTCTAAAGGCAATCCTGGAAAAGCTGGTGCTGGAGCATTGCTACGTGATCCGGACGGCTCAGTGGTTTGTAACATTGCGGTCCATGGTATTTGTAGTTTAAGAATGCGGGAGTTTTGCAGCTCCAGGAGCTGAGAATTGGCCTTGGCACCGCGACGAACAACTTTGCGGAGTATCAGGGACTCATTTTGGGATTGAAAGGAGCGTTGGCGCAAAACGTTACTCGTATTCGTGTCCAAGGGGACTCCAATCTCGTTTGCAAGCAGGTACGAGTGATGTCAAACAGGCATTTTTTTCTAAGATTTTGAAGGAAAGGTAGCTGGCATATGGAAAGTAAACAAGGACACTCTCAAGCCATTACACGCAGAAGCGCAATCGCTGTCGAAGAAGTTTACTGAGTTCACTATAGAGCACGTCGTACGGGTAATTGGTTTTTTGATCTCTTGGTTCAAACAGTAACATACCTTGCAGGAACTCAATAGTGCTGCAGACGATCTTGCGAATAAGGCCATCGATCTTAAACGTACGTCTCTAATGTTCTTTGCTGCCCTTCACTTACCCGAGATCCCTCAGCGCAAGAGGTTGTGAAAGATGTAAAATGTATAAAGCTACAGATCTCCGAGCCATCTCATCAGATCACCACTAAGAAAAACAAGAAAGAAGTTACTGAAGAGGTACATGAGTCATCTTATTGGAAATAGTCTCATTTTTCCGTGTTATGGCAGTCTGTCTATGTGCTTGCGTACGATGGAGCTTCTAAAGGAAATCCTGGGAAAGCTGGTGCTGGAGCGCTGCTGCGCAATCCGAAGGGCTCAGTCGTATGCAAAAGCTAATTCCTGTTTCCCTTTCAAACAAGCTAGTCTGCAGATTGAAAAACTGTACATGGGACTAGGCACAGCGACAAACAATGTTGCAGAGTATGAGGCTCTCATACTCGGACTACAGGCAGCACTCGACCGGAACGTGACTAGCATTCAAGTATTTGGGGATTCCAACCTCGTTTGCAAGCAGGTATCGTCCATGTTCTAAACTTTAAGCCGTGCGTGACTCGAATTTTCCGAAGGTAGCAGGAGAATGGGCTGTGAGACATGAAGGCTTGAGAGCATTGCACGCGCAAGTACAGGCTCTTTCGATGCAGTTCACCACGTTCAGTATTCATCACGTTGACAGGGTATTACCTCTTTCTTTCTGGTATTCTACTCTCAAGTATGACTTAGGAAATGAACACTGAAGCGGACGCACTTGCAAACAAAGGAATCACTTTGCCATGTAGGTCTTCTCTTTAACCTTTCACGCTGCTAAAGTAATGCTTATATTCAGGCAGGACAATCGTAACGAGACCAACAAGAAAATCACCTCCTCACCAGCAACATCAAGTGGCAGAGTCTTCAACTGAAATGAGCGCATTAACTCCTGACACTACAAGTACCGTAGAGGTTGGCAGTGCTGTTGCAAGGAAACTATCCACAAGAAGGAAGACAACGCAAGGGGAGAATGCGGAGCCTGTTGGACCTGACGCCTCAGATAAAGCTGGTGCAAATGCGAAGAGCCAATCGAAAAGAAACTCTGCAAAAAACATCAACAACAAAACCAACGCACAAAACTCCGAGACAATTCAGAGGAAAGTAATGGTTGCAACGAGGACGGAAGCTTTAACACAGCAAACATGCGTTACGAAAAACGTAATGGACGCTGCTGTTGGGAGGTACGTCACAGTGGACGCAGCGCGCGGTAATCAAGTCCCAAGCAAACCATCGACTACTAAGGTTTCTTACAAGTCATACCACAGCTACTCGACAATTTTCTCCAGATTTCCTACGAGGCCCGCGGTAACGTGTTTAATGCTTTATCTACTCCTTGACGTTCACCTTTTGTTTCTTTGTTGTCAAGGCCTGCATTTCTGTTTTCAGGAGCCTCTCTACAATTGCAGTGAGTGACAAACCTGTCTCTTTCTAGCTGAATTATCCTAAACTTTTGGAGTTGTGTCACAGGCTGTCGCACTAGTGAGGCGCTTTTGACCTCATCCGTTTGAAGGTTTGTGCTTATGCTGTTGTGGAACTGTTTTGATTCCCGTCGATCGTGGCCAGACGGCAGCTCTCGGTTTTGTATGCATGGCTTGCAGCTCCAGCTTTGTCGTAAGTCGGCTTTGTTTTCGTCACTGTTGGTCTAATCCAATCATGCAGGCCAGTCGTAAGCGTCCAATTGTTTCCTGTGACCAAGACGAGACCCGAGACCAGCCGCGACAAAAAACATCCGGCATGCCGCACCACAGGTACGGTTTTGAGGAAAAAGGAAGAAAAAGGGTAACGAGGTCGTGTCGTTGTGGACCCTCTTCAGATCCATGAAATGGACTTGCGAGCTGGACCCTGTTGTGCGTTTCTTTCAAGCAGTTATTTCGTTGAGTTTTACAGTGCAAGACTTACAGGGACCAGATGGTGAAACATCTAATCACTTGTCTACCTTGAAACCGAAACATTACGATTGCTCGGCCACTAAACCATGCCGCTCGATGGATGAGATCACGTTATGACATACGAGACAATGAGCGAAACTTGGAAGACAAACGAAAACTTATATAGTATTATCAAAAGACATTATCAAAAGACAAGGACGCGAAAAAACGCGAAATGCCCGAGCAAGGCATCCGAAAGAGGAAGAGCACGGCAAAGAGGACCACCAAAACCAAAAAGAAAAAGAAAAAGGAACGAACGAGGTACGAGAAAAGTCACTCTTTTCACTTGGCTCATGTCTTGCTGATCACTTCTTTCAGATGCTTGATCTCGCCATTGTCAACCTGGAAGGCAATCTCCAGCACCGCGTCCTCGATCGCCGGCATGGAAGCAAACACCGCCTTGGCAACCTGCGACGCTCCGGCGTTCTGGGACCCGAAAGCCGCGAGGCCAAACGCAGGAGAATCGCCCACATTGAGCTGGAAGTGGATGAGACCTTTGGGAAACACGAAGCTCTCACCGGCGGAGATGGTCTTGGCGAAGAGCTTGTTATCGGGGGCAGTGGTGACGAAGCCAACGTAGAGCTTTCCCTCGACCAGGAAGAGCAGCTCGGTGGCTCGCGGGTGGACGTGAGGAGGATTGAGGCCGCCGGGGGCGTAGTCGACGCGGGCACTGGAGACGCCCAGAGTGTTGAGGCCCGGGAAGCGAGCAGCGTTGGCGGTGGTGACGGCAGATCCCAGCTTGTTGGAGGTGTTGCCGGGCTTGGCGAGCGCGTTGGAGGAGAAGTGGTCCGGCGTGACCGCGGCACTGGGCAGGCAGACGAAGCCATTCACTTTGATGGTGGAGTTGACGTCGGCGACGCAGAAGTCCTGGAAGGGATCGGCATCGCCGCGGGCGATTTGGGCGGAGAATGCCGCGAGGATGGACAAGAGGAGCAAGAATTGGGCTGGAGCCATACTTTCCACCGGAGCTCTGGATTTGATGATCTTCCTCTTGGGCAGCGCGCGATGGATCCCTAGGAGACCTCTGGCGGTGTGAGGCCGTGAAGGGGAATTTATTTGAGCGGTGGGCATGGTGTCGCGAGACGGAGCTGGGTTTTAAAAATCAGATTTTTAATCGCAATCTCTCCACAGTGTTTGATCTTCTACACTAGTGTCAATCGCCCGAAGAAACAGAGACTGCCATTAGCGCTACCTACCTTTTAGAAACTTTTTACCGCAAGCGAAAATGATGAGGTGGCTTTGTGACTAAGCAAGATCTGGTCCACCTCAGCAACTTCAATGGCCACGTAAGCTTACACTTGGGAGTTTAGGGTTTGATTGGGCGATGGTGCTCGCCGTCACGAAGGATGGCGCGTATGCTGCCGTGGTTCTGGGCGGCACGTTTGATCGGCTCCACGGCGGCCACAAGATGCTCTTGAAGGTGAGCCAGCGAATTTTGCTAGCCGTGGTGTGGAAATCGGATCAGGGCTTGGGTTTTTGTCCAAGGCAGCGGCAGAGCTCGCGCGCGAGAGGGTTGTGGTGGGGATCAGCGATGGGCCAATGCTAGAGAACAAAGAGGTAAGATTTACTCCATTCTCTTCTCTCGTCTCATCTGCTATTTAATCTATCTTTTTTTTTTTCGTTTTGCTCTTGCGCTAGTTCGCGCATTTGATCGAGCCTTACGAGAAGAGGAGCAATGCAGTCAAGGAGTTTATCAAGGTCCAGTCTTCTTGCTACATTTCTCATGGCTAACTTACTTCGTTTGTTTTTTCTTTCGTGTTTTTCGTCCTCTTTGCAGTCTGTGAAGCCGGATCTAGAAGTCCAAACTGAGCCAATACATGACCCGTATGGTCCATCCATAGTCGACGAGGCACTCGAGGCCATTGTTGTAAGGTACAAGACGACGCTTTCGTTTTGTGTTATATCTCGTAAAACTGTACCTTTTTGTGTCTTTGCGTTTGTGTTTTCTCGGTATTCAGTCAAGAGACTCTGGGCGGAGGACTTGCTGTCAATAAGAAACGAGCTGAACGAGGCCTTTCCCAACTCAAGGCTAGTACAAATCTTTTCTGGGTTTTCCATGACGAGATTTGTCAGCAGGTTGAAGTCGTGGATCTGTTCATACTAGATGGAGGCGCGGAGAAACTGAGCTCCACGTTTCTGAGAAAGTTAGAAGCGGAGGCATAGCATTTACCATGATATCTGTTTTCTCTCATCGCTCGAGAGAACAAAATAAAAAATAAAAAGGTTTCAGTGACTTGTTTGCTATCAAACTTCTGGGAAGGTGCAAATTATGATTCTGCTGAAACATAGAAACGCTTCTAAACACTCAAGGACTTGCCAGAGTTTTAAGTTGTCACCAATGAAAACGAAACTGACACCCTTTGCTCACATACATAGCCTGTAAGTAGACTTGCCATTGATCCAGATTTTCTTCCTTGAGTACAGATTTCTTCTGGACTAAAGTTTACTTCTGAGATTTTTGGTCACTTAAGAGTGTACATACGCACTCAACTTGAGTACATGTAAGGGAATGATGAAGTGGCTTTCATCTGTGACCACATTAACTTTATTGTATAGTAAAAGAACATTTAATCTAGATACCTAAACTTAATTATATATATATATATATATATATATATATATATATATATATATATATATATATATATATATATATATATATATATATATATATAATGTTAAATTTTATTTATAAAAACACAGATTTTCTCCTCCAGCCGTCATAGAGCTTGTGAAGCAGAAAACATTCCTGGACGAGGCAGCTGCTGATGGCAAGGATGATCTTTCCTGGGAAGAGGCTGTGGAGCTTGCAAGTCAGCTGTATTATACTTATTTATTCATTTAATTAGTACTTTATTTATTTATATAAGAAACACAAGTTCATAACTAAATAAAAAAGTATGTATAATTTTAGATTTATATATTTACTATTGTAATTTTTCTTATTATAAATCTTTGTTTAACTTATAAGACTGAAGGTGTTGATGTTGATTGTATGAATAACGATTAGGAAAAACTTATGAGTTGTTGTCTATATGTTTATTATAATAAGTATGGAAGAAAAGTAAATATTTTTATTGATTTGTTATTTCAAGAAGAAATTGATCCAATACTATCCTAGATATTTTAATTTTCTTATAAATCTGGTACAATACCAACTTATAGTATTTCCAGGTTTAGCAAAATATGTAAAAAAATGTGATTGGTCATTTATAGGTTGCTATCAGCATATAAATCATATTACTGTTGAATTTTTTTCTTTTGAATCCATTAAATAAAACTCTCAAATTATATATATATATATATATATATATATATATATATATATATATATATAAAAGTAACATATTAAATCATTTCACTATTAAATCAGTTTCTTAACAACCTATATCCAAGAAATTTATTAATAACTATAAAACAATTAAAAAACAAAATATTTAAAGACCCTGAGAAGAGCAACTGTAAAATATACTGAACTATAATGTATTTTATTAAATCAAGTGAAAACTTAGAACATAGTAAAAGCATATAAAAAAATTAACCCTATAAGCATATAATATAGGGATTCAGTCAATTAACATGGGTTTTTCTTCTAGTTAAACACTAATGATTTTAAATGTATAATCAGAATAATGAATATACAATATGCTATGGTGATTATAGTGATTGTATGACTATAGACTGTGCTACTTGTGAACTCATTTTTTACTTTCTGTTTTTTAGCCTTTAACATCTTTAGTGAGCTCTTTTTTATGAGAAATTCTTTGCTTAACTTAAATTCTGTAATTATTTTATAATTAGTGTTTTGATCCAAGAAATATTTAAGATGAACCTAAACAAGGAATTTGTATCTAATCCTTTTTATCGAAGCCATACCATCCTAGATATTAAAAAGACCTCATAGTGCAAATATCAGCCTAGCAATGCTTTTCCAGCCTTTTGACAATATAGATTAGTTTCTTTCTACTTCTTAGCAGCAATGTCATGTCAAGTAAAGAGCCACTAACAAGTGAGATATAAAATAAGTGCATGAACATCCAGCTTGCAATGCATTATAGATGCTGATATATGATCTTTGAAACACAGGTACTTTGGATATTATGGTAAATATACACTATTGATATAAAAAAGACCCAACAGATGGCAGTGGTTAGATTTATTACTCTAAAATACACTTAAATAATGTTGAACTAATTATCCTTTATTATTCCCTATTTATTATTCTCCAAATGAGATTTTTATAATTTAAAAATCCCCTACACTCACTTCTAGCCTTTGGTGAAGGTCAAGCAAAATGTTTATGAACTTGCACATCTAGAGAAGAATTGGGAAGAGCTCTTGGCTGAGTTTATACAAATTGAGCACAAAATTCAACATACAAGGTCTTCAAAGTAAGAAACTAGTATGCAAAGTTTTCAAAGTGGCTAGAGACTATAATAGAAATTTCTGTTCATGAATATAAGTTTCTTATTGCATGCTTTATTTTTCTCAATCACACATATGTTTCTTTTGCAATGAACAAAAATCCAAATGACATGATTTATAATATTGCAAAATTGAGGCTTCTATACAAGTAATAAATAGAAACTCTAGAGTTTCTCAATATTTTCTTGATGAACAGAAAGAAAAGATTGCTAAAAGTATTTGAGAATATAATGAGAAGGGTTGTTTACATCACATAAACTATAGGTGAAGGTGAGAAGTTCTTGGCACTGCATATTGGTGATGATTTAGTGTAAACAATTAAATTTTCCATTTTACTTTAATCACTTAATCACATCTCCAACCACTTGGAGGAATAATCTTTACAAGTCTTATTTTGGACTTGACTTGTTAGCCTTATAAATGGCATATATGCCATTTAACCTTTGCACTTGTTATAAATGCTCCACATATCTGATCCTATGATCAACCCCCCAAATATACTATCGACATATCAACCTATTACACTAAGGCCATATTTATTTACCCTTGCCTTATTAGTAATCCTAGACCACCCGTGCTATAGTCCTATCCCTCAAAGACTAGGCCATCCATCCATGAGTGGTCATCTCAAAACTACTCCTTAGCATTTTTAAGAGACCTAGAGACATAAGGAATAATCTTCTCCAACATCCCTTTTTTGATCCTCACCAAATCCCACTCCATCCTCGGCTATATTTGCCAACACTATTATTGGGCTAGGGCTTGAAGGCTCAACCACTACGTCCTATTGACTTCCAAGACTTCCTTGCTATATCACTATATCCTTAGTCATTACATAGGAAGACTACTCCTCTTCCTTTCCACAGTCTGGGATTTTGGGATAACATTTCAGAATACTATAAAGCTCTATTTTGTTAAAGTGGGAATTGTCATTATCCCACTTGTAAAATAAGGTTTCCAAACCTTTATATAGTATATAAATATAACAAAATTCAACTGCATTGAGGCACATGCCATTTTATTTTAAACAAGGAAATGTCTACTCAATCACTTCTCCTCCCCCTGCCACTGCTTCACCTCTCTCTTCTCCTTGTCATCGTCGTCCAATTTCTTTCCATCCTTTTAATATTGGCTCAGTTGCTCCGAGTCTAGGTGGAGCCCAAGTCCCCATTCAATCTTTACTTTCCCATTATTAATAAAACAACTTCGTAGACTTCCAATAACATACTGTAACACTTCTAGTATAATGCAAATCCTCTCAAAGAATTGTCTTTTAATATTAATACAATGGCATGGAACCCCATGCCATAATAAGTTACATTTTTAAATAAATACATGCCATCTCAGACTGTTATTTTTTGCCTCTAACGCCTATACAATAATCTTGAAATTTCATCACTCTCCACACTATCAGGATTTAAACCCAATAGTAATGCCATCTCTTCTCTAATACGTCCACGCTCATGTTCAGTGGTCGAAGAACCCATCCGGTTGAGCAGATTATGGAGATGCGGATAGTGCTTGGCTAGACAATATACATGCCATAAATGATGACTGGTGTCTGTCCGATCAAATGGCTTCTGATATACCGTTCCATCTGCCATTTGGTTGATTTCTGCAGCCACCTCCTGGACTGGCCGGTTCTCTATCACCATCGCTCCAAGCCGTTTTGCAAGGTCCCCCAGAACATACGGTTTCTTCTCCCTAGTTTCCATACTGCAAGAGATGGGGTGCACTGCATATGTGTGCGTGTTCGCTGCAGTTTTAATCGGCGAGTCATCGATGATGAGGATTTCACTTGAGCTAGCAGTCTGGTTCATCACTATAGCCTCTGGCTTGACGAAGATGGGCTTGCTACCCCTCACATGGACCATAGTCAAGCAATCCTCCTGCGTTAGGAGAAAGTCAAATGGTAATATTACTCGCGTCTGATCGTGCATCATCTGTAGCAACGTTAATGCATTGTGGCGCATCATGGATGTCCAAACTCCCAATTGCAAATTGAACCCGGCCCTCTGTTTTAAGTGTCGCATGGTCATTATTAGATCCCGCAGTTTCTCCCGTGTGATTAATGTGAATCTGTCTCTTTTGACCAACTTGCGACCGCAGGCTTTGGAGGGTGCAATGACATTCGAGGACGAGCCACGCTCATGGGAGAAAAGGACACCATTCAGATAAAAAACGATACAGTACCTTCGCCGTGACTCTGAAATGAAGTGCGTCAGCATAAAAAATGGTACAAGTCAATTTTACCATCTACAATATTAGCGAATGTTGCTCCCGATGGTCGTTGAGAGGGTTTTGGTTGAGGAAATGTGAAGGGCGGAAATACTCTCCTCTGCAATGTGGGGTCAATTGCATCCGATGGCGTGTGGGCACATGCCATTTCAGCTGTAGACTCTGGTACAACTGGCTCAATAGTGGCATGGGGTGGTTCCGATGGCATGTGATCACACGCCATTTCAGCTGGTGCCTCCGTTGGCAAAGTGGACATGACCGAACAGGCAGCAGGGGCGGTGTAGGGAGGTTCCAACGGCGCGTAGTCAGACGATTGGGCACACGTTGAGTCCGTTGGAAATGAGGATACGACCGGCTCGGCGGCTGGGGCGGCCTCATGTGGGTCCAATGGCGCTTGGTCACCGTCAGGATGATACATGGACAAGATTGACTCAGTGGTATGGGCAGCATCAAGTGGAGCGTGGTCAGCTTGCTTGGCGTTGATATGGATAGTAGCCTCCACCAGCTCTGATGACTCTTGCAGCCAAGTAGAGTCCACTGGCGGATCCATATGCATGTCCAAATATCTCCCTTCGATTGAG